GGGGCCCAGATCGGGGTCCAGCATGCTGCGGCGGGCTGCTGGCATGTCGTGTGGGTGCCCTGGGAGGTCCTCCTCCCGGGGCCAGTCTGCGTGGCGCGGCCTGCGTCTTTCAACTAGGGCTTCTAAGTAATACACTCTATCCGGGTACGGACTGGCGTAGGATGCTTTGTCAGGCAGCTGGCTGCCGGCATGCTGAATATCAGAGTAGCTAGAATGGGTGGATAGTTGAGGTGCAGGCTGGGGTGCTGGGGTGTACTGTGCATAACCCCAATCGGCACCTTGCACCCATTGTGGACTGGGGTAGCGGCCTAAATAGAGGGGCCGCTCGGCTGGTCGACTTCTCACTGATTGAGAAGGCCGTGAAGATGAGGTTGGTGGTCCAACCTGGGGTCCGAGGGCGGACTGCCCTCTGCCCCTAGATGGTCCTGAGTGCCTTATAGAGTGTGTAGGGAATGGGGCCGAAGGTTGGGACAGATAAGCTTCATCCCTCCCCTGCTGCATGCGTCCGTTCAGAGAGTCCAAAACTACATACTGTCAATTATTGTACGGGAATGTATCAGGAGGCAGGCTATCAGGAGGCACGCTCAGCATCCTCCTGACTTCAGGTACCTTGGAAAGAGGTGGCCTACCTTTACTGCGGGACGACTGTCCCTTGCTTCCTCTGGTGGAGGAAGCCAATTGCTCTTCGCCGATCGTCCTGAACGGACCCAAGTCGGCTCCACCGGTTTGCTTTCATACCGGCGTGGGGGAAGACTCTGGGTCAACATCGTCAGAGTTGGGGTGTACCCCCCCCCCCCCTCCCCACTGTCTGTTCTCACCAGTAAGGGGGGGGGGGGGGTCTCCTCCATGTTCTCCCCAGAATCTGTGCAGGCGTCGTCGTCCTCGTCGTCCTCCACCAGCCTTCCATTTCACTGTTTTTCAGCAAGCATACTCTGGAGTTCCATGATCTTCTGATCATGTTGAATTTCTCTCTGATGGAGGAGAAGGACTAACTTAGCCAAGGGAACCTGGACTGGCACCTTACCATCTGGGTTCTCTATTTGATACATCACAGCGTTGAGCTCGTCACTTCACTGTTCTTCAGTAAGGCCCCTGACGGAGTAGTCGGATTCCCGGGTGGTTCCGAACAGTTTGGACAGCATTCGTCCAGAGAATAGAATAGGTTCATATTTGGCATGGGCCGCAGCGCCACCTGGTTGCTGGGAGCTGATCAGGTCACTACTCTGATCCTCCATTTTCAACAACTGAACCAAAATAGCCTAACAGAGCTCTGCAGTAGCTCAAAGCTGCACTTCGTGGCAGCAACTGCTATCTTGTAGCAGCAACACTAAATTAACCTCTTTGGTGCACACAGGTTTTAGTGTTTAAAATGCACGGCCAATGCCGTGACTAATGCATAAAATACTATTTCCTTCAGTGTTTTAGCAAACAGCTGTACCGGTGCGTTGGCTTAGCAATGTCTTACAACACTTGCAGTGTTAAAGTGCTATTTATTCCTTCAGAATATTAGCAAACTGTGTAATCAGTCTTTGATTGAAGGTTTTAGTTAGTTTTAATTAGCCACTGTGAGTTAAGGTTGCTAAAATAACAGTTGATCTAATCTAAAAGGTTAGACAGAATAACTGCACATGCACATAAACGGTGGGAAGAGATAAATAGAATAAAATAACTATGTTTTTGTTGTTTAAATTGTTAGCATCAACTGTTTAGTTGTCTATCACTTTAAACAAGCACTGAGTTATTGGTGAGAGTTTGCATGCAGCTTCTAGGGTACACAAAGACAAGATGTCCACTTTCTGTCTTGACCGAGGCAGGTCAGTAGAGGAAGCCAACAACACTGCTCAGTGAAATCAGCACCATTCTGTTGCCACCAGCTGGTTCAAGGCTGACCACTTATTATTTTAATCCAAGCTCTACAAGAAAACCAAAGGACTTGTTTGTGTTGTATAAAATAATCTCCGCTGTGTATCGTGCCTCACACAGGGCACCATAATGTTGTGGTTATTAGCCAACAAATAATTTGTCAGCTTTACTTACCCTTTGGATTCATCAATAAAATTCATAAATATGGAAATATTTACCGATTTATTGCGTAATTAGGATATCCGTGGATATGCCTCGGGGCATCACCCCTTTTTACAGGGGAAAAATGAATCCAAACCTCTACCAATCTGTCTAAAGTTTGTAAAATTCTTTTAACGAGCAGCGGTCATATTCTATCCAACACAGACAAATTCACTTGAGACAAAACTTAATTGTCAATAACATTTATTGACTAATATAATCACCTTAGCTCCTTCAAAGCGCTAGCCAATCAATATCAACCAACTGATTTAATCAAACAAGCAATAAGCAATGAAACCATGGAATGATGATGTGAAGTAACAATCTAATAAGACCGGTGGGGTGAGATGGTGATGTGATCAAGCAATAGTGAGGCTGCTTGATGATGTAATCAGGCAGAGATAGGCTGTTTACCAAACTGGAGGGAGTTTTGAAAACAAAATGGCGGATCCTTTGTTTGGCTGAACAAAGGATCGAACTGTGTGTGTGTGTGTGGAATTTAGCTTGTCTTCCCAGACACGCACAATCAGTGGGTGTGAGACACTGATCAGACGCGTATTTGACGGTGTGAGCAAACGTTCACAGTAAACTTAATCAAAACACTTCAAATCGCTTCACAAAGATCAAGGGAAAAAAACAACAGATCAGTCATAAAGGCAAATTACATATCTAAACAGTCTGTCAGCCTGGCCACAGCATAAACAAACTTAGATATTAAACAATAAAAGAAACAGAGCTTACTTCGAGATGGTCCGTTGGCGGTTTTAGTATGGAAGAGAGAGACCGTCTGTTATTTTAAAGCAGTCACGTGGTTGACCGCTTGTTTGGACTATTAGAGAAGCGGGAGAGAAAGAGAGAGATAAAAAAAGGAAAGAAAAAATCTTGAATGAACGAACACAAGGCGTCCCTCTGTGTCCGGGGCTGAGCAGATTAAATGGCATTGGTCCTTATGATCTCAGCAGCTAGGCCTCAAGCACACGCTGTCCGAAGCGGTAGGAGCAGAGGCGGGGGGTCTCCTTACACCAGATGAACTGGACGGGAAGAGAGAGAGTTCCGCTCTGCGCCTCGACTTTATAGACTCGTCCAGCGGGCGGTCTCTGTAAGGGCCAGTATCCACCGGGGGGGGGGGGGGGGGGGGGGGGGGGATATGTCAGACTTGGCGTCACTTGATGACATCATCAAGCTGCTGCCGGCTGCTGAGGATCATGGGACATGGAGTCCCTGCTGGCGCTGATATTAACATGCGTTATTGTCTATGCTTCAGGGCGTAGATGGCACAGTCCTTTGGAGAAAATACTGCGTAGTAATTTTCTCATGAGGGCAGGACCCCAACACTAGCTAGGCTGCTGCCTTCTTAAAGAAGTCAGCCAGAGGCAAAATTCCTTTGAATGGTTTGTATAAAAACTATTAAAACCTCAGCTGAAAACAGAAGATGTTTCCTGTATGAGCCTGAACCAGCTGATAACTCCCCACAAAAACCAGAGTAAACAGTAGCAGAGCTTCGGTGGTTCTGCATTAGCATTATAGCAGATGGCAATCAGTCAGATGTAGCTTATGAAACCTTTGCTAGTTCGTCAGATTTGTTTTTTCTCTGGGATAAGGTGACGAGAAAGGATATTGGATTACCGAAGAAGTTCAACCGAACTCCGACCACCCGCTAGCTGGAAAGCTGGAGGTGCAGACTGTTTGAGACTATTTGACTCGGAAGACCTGCAACCGATCTGGACACCGGGGAGGATTCTGTTCATCTTCAGAACCAAAATTGGTTGTTCGTTTACTTAGAATATTTAATTTCTGTGCTTGTAGTGCTTCCATCGGAAGCCCTCATCTGACGAGTTCTTAGCTAGCTCCAGCATACTGTCCAATATAATTAAATAATCTACAGATTAATAACACTATGTGCTGCCAGTTTTACCGCAGTGAGGATATATTGATATAACGCTGGAAAATATTTAATCAAAAGCTTACCAGAATAACTCTTCCTGACTGACTGGGATCCTGCAGTAGCTTGTTGTCGTTTGTAGTAATCCAGGATGGCACTGAGGTTCTACCGGTTTCAGGAGGATTCTTTGCTGAAATATGTGGATCTTTCAGATCACATCCGTGTGTGTGTGTGTCGTAGCTTTCCCAAATAACTTATGTTTTCCTTACCTAACACAGTTAGCTGTGTTGCTGCAATCACGCCAACATGACTTGTCAGGAGTCCAGAAGGACCGTAGCGGTTTGATTTGTAGATTTTAGATCAAGCCAATGCTAGTTGCTGCAGTATTCCGTAATCACTGAGAGCATCAAGTTTAACAAAATACAGCTAATCACGACGTTCTAGCTGCAGCAGCTGCCCTGTAAGACGTCTTTGAGTGATGAATGCAATATAGAGTTCTTCACTGTTTAGGAGAGAATTAAAATTTTCTATGATGAAATCCCTTAACAAAATGAAAAACTTACACACTTTATATAGATGGTAAAGTGTAGTAATACTGAATTTCTACAATGTCTGGCCAATGCTTAATTTGAGATTAATGATTTAACCTTTATTTAACCAGATGAGTCGATTGAGAGCTCATCCTCATTTACAACAACAATCTGGCCAAGAGGCAGCAGCAAGACACATAGTTAGCTTTACAAAGAACAGGTAAGAAAAAAAAATTAAGACATAAAAACAGGCTGTTCATTTACAAAATATGAAAGCATCAAAAACAGACCTATAACGGTCTTTAAGTAATCAGAAGCACATTCATATGATACATGATGACACAGGGTTTAAACTTGTGAAAACCGTGAAACATGCGATTGATTAGTGAATTTTATTCTCATTTTATGACCCAATGTCATTTTACAGCGTTGGAATGTTTGACTCTTCATGATCCAGTCTTGACCAAATACTGATGTCATGTTGTGAGGTAAGTGACTAACCCACGACATACAGAATCAGTTCTCAGACAAGGGCGAAAGTTTTAAACTTTAAGGGAGAAACTAAAGGAGCAGCAAAATTCGCCGAGTTCTTCCGACAGGGATCTGGTGCGGGTATCTGCAGACAAAGGCAGTTTAAGGTCCAGCTCAAAACAACAGAGGGTTGTGGGTTTGGAGGACTTACAGTCTTGGTAGCGTAATGGCTCGAGTGAGGAGGGACGGTGGTCTGGTCTGGGTTGGAGGGACTTACAGGGAGTAGGAATCCAGGGTTGGAGGTTAAGGGAGCCGATTCTTGCGGTAGTACAGATCCAGGTGGGTCTTGGTGGGGCAGCAGGAGGTGGATGGTCAGGAACGGGCTGCGAGACGAGCAGTGTGTAGAGATAATCCAAAGTTCAGTCAGTCAGAGATGGGAGTGGAGGATTTTCTGAAAAAATGGCAAAGGTGTGATCAAGCATGTAAAATCAAAAATCCAAAAACTCAAACAAGGCTCGAAGACTTAAAAATACTCAAATGTACAATTCTCAAGTGGCTGTTAAATGAAGGACCCAGATAGAGTAATCATCCAGCGAAGTGATGGCGTCTCTCAGCTGCTTAAACACACCGGACCGGCTGATGAGCTGATGCTCTGCAGCTTGGCCACCTCCAGACACGCCCACCTGCAGAAGAAAACTCAAAAAACCACTCAGAGAATGGCAGGGGAGAACCCAGACCGTGACAACTGAACCTTGGTCACATTCAAAAAGGTATGAGGAGACTGCTCTGGTCCTTTGTAGTGACAGTGATCAAAAGAATGGGATTATGGCTAAAATGAGCTTCCAGCCTCATCCTTACACATAAGACAAGGAGCTCCATCTTCCATCTTCTTGCTCCTGCAGCTCTCCGTCAAAAGGAGTTGGCCGAGGTGGTTCAAGCATTAGTCTAGGATTCCACTGGGAGGTGAAACTGGGGCAGACTCAGGGCTTTGGTCCAGGCTCACCTAAGAGGGGCTTGAACATGTTACTGGAGAGAGGGATGTCTGGGTTTTTTTCCTGGATCTATCACTTCCACGACTCAACCTCGATGAGCATCAAAGAATGGATGGATGTGTTTCAGAAAAGCCTCACAAGTAAGCTTAACACCAACTAGTCACCACAAAACACTTCCATCGCCAATTTTTTATTTTTTTTGCTTCTTCACACAATCCCTGTGACATCCTCTCCTCCAGCACTGACAAGTAAAAAGGACCGGTGGACCAGTGGTCCTCACAGCATGCAGAGCTTATCCAGCCAATCTGAATGCTAGTTAAAAAGCCAGTTGGGCATCAAGACAAAAGGGGATTTAATTTAGAAGAGCTTTAAAAGAAACAACCACAACCATTCTTGTGTTTATGCTCATCCTGTCCCAAGAACATGTCTAAGTCACTTTGCTTGAAAAATAGAATTTGCTAAATGACTCTTTATGCAGACAAACTAATAAAAGACTCACGAGATGACTGAGTTGAATCGTTTTTATACTTTATATTGATCTGCATCCCTTTAAGGTCACTTACCATGAAGTAAGCTCAGACTGTAACTGTAATCAGCTTGTGACTCATGTAAGGATGGATAATGGAGAACTTCTACTTGAGTATTTTAAAAGTGACATGGCATCTCTGGATAAACATGATCATGTGTGAGAGTCAGTCGCTGACAGAGTTGAGCTCAGCCTGGTCAGTTACTGTCCTTTAATGAGGGAAACATCCACTCTTAAAGGACCTACAGGTATCTGTCATAGTTCCTCTTCACTCACACATGTTGTGTTGGTGAGGCTTCTTGCATCCAAAACAGCAGCATCCAATATTTTTGTGTCTTGTTTCTCATTTTTTTTCCTCTGCTGAGGTTTCAAGGCCTTGCTCGGCTGCCAACATCAAGCGTGGTGCGTCCATTTTCAGTAACGAGTATCAGAATGAGATCATGTGACCTCACAGGATGTATTAACTATGACAGGATGCAGGTGTCTGATTTTAGCAGGAAGAGTTTATTTCCAGTCGCGTCTCGCTGTAAACAAATAACATATCTACACTAACACAATGTGTCTGACTTCTTTTCCTTTTCTTGTTCCAGTATTTTTGTAGTCAGCTAGGGAAAAAAATCAAGATTAGTCAATTTAGTTTGATTCTAAAATGAGCCATTTTGTCTAAAGCAGGTAAAGAAAGTTTATTTCTTATATAACTTTTTAAGGAAAAGTTAGAATATAATAAGAAATAAACAATTAAAATGATGAAAGCAGCATGGGGCAGCAGTAGCTCAACAGGTTGAGCGGGTTGTCCAGTAATCGGAAGGTTGCAGGTTCGATCCCGGCTCCGCACAGAGAATTCTGCTGTTGTGTCCTTGGGCAAGACACTTAACCCACCTTGCCTGCTGGTGGTGGTCGGAGGGACCGGTGGCGCCTGTGCTCGGCAGCCTCACCTCTGTCAGTGTGCCCCAGGGCAGCTGTGGCTACATTGTAGCTCATCACCATCAGTGTTTGAATGGATTAATGGTACACTGTAGTGTAAAGCGCTTTGGAGTCCTTACTCTGAGAAGTGCTATACAAGTGTGGGTCATGAATCATTTATCATGAATGATGATAGAGTTGTAAAAACTAACAGGAATCCTGCAGAAACACACGTTTACAGCTAAAGATCATGAGTGATAATATGGCTGCCTGAAAAAAGAAAATCCTGCAATAAAGAATAGGACCATAAAATTATATGAAAATTCTTTGGTTAAAAAGATTTGTTTTGTGTGATTCCAAACTTTTCTAAAGGGCAACATTCATATATATATATATATATATATATATATATATATATATATATATATATATATATATATATATATATACAGTATATTTCCAGGTGAATTGTAGTTCATGCAAGTTTTGTTCGTCAGAACAATCCAAAGCTCTTCTGTCCACCACTGATGGAGACGTTCTTCAGAATCTCAAAAAGTTTTAAGGTCAAAACCCTCAAAAGGATATTTAGTTGAGTGTCAGATCAACACACACACACACACACACACACACACACACACACACACACACACACACACACACACACACACACACACACACACACACACACACACACACACACACACACACACACACACACACACACACACGCACACACACACACGCACACACACACACACACACACACACGTTTTGGTACACTTGTTTTCATTCACTGAGCCTTCAAGCCTTTGCTGCCTGGTTCTCGGGTTTCTCTTGCCCCTTTCCCACTAGCATCAGCTCTGCATGGACTGCATAGCATAGAGAGTGCCCACATTAGCATAGCCTGCCTTTATTCAGGGTGCAGCCAGGCTGTGTTTCAGCCCTCTTTCTGAGGTGGTCTGCTTCAGGCTGACCAGAGCCAACACACCCATTATTGACCAACAAGCCGGCTTACCAGTCAGCAAATTCACATCTTTCATTAGAGGAAGCCTCTGATTGGTGGGTAGAATCAGCCCACATGGGCTTAAGGCGTGCACAATTCATTATCATGCTGATTACGTAGGAGCTGAGAACTTCTCTGACTGTATTCCTAAGCAAGGATGTGTGGAATCAACCGGACCAGGCTGGGGCTGACTGGAACTATCCAGGTGGTGTGGAGCCGATAGTGGGAAAGGGGCATCTGTGCCCCCCAACCCGTGATGGGTCAGATTGAGGTCACTGGATTGACCTTCCTCCTCCATCATTCAGTCACCATGTTTGAATGCTAGAAGTGATTTAGTGTTTTTAATGTGTGTCTGAGCATCAGGGTCTGGTTAGTTAGAGGTGAGTAAACAATGCTACTTTTTTAAACTCCCGTTTGTGTTCATGTTGCATTAATGTCAAAAACAAAGATTGATGAAAGTTTTTGTTAATGTCTCGAGTCACTGACACAAGTCAGTTACTCAATGCAATTTGCTGGGTTCCTTATGTAGGAAACTATTTACTGATTGGCTTAATGAACTGACCTGGATTGGAATGTTTACTATGTGCCTCGAGGCGACTCTTGTCTTGATTTGGCGCTATATAAATAAACTTGAATTCAATTGAATTGAAAGGTGTGCTTGACTGAAAAACCAGTTTTACTGATTATTTCTAATTCCAATCAGTCATTTCGAGTTTTTCATGCAGGCTTAATGTGAAAAGAGTTAAAGTCCCATTAGTTGTCACACACACTGATGTGTGTGCGAAATTTGTTCTCCGCATTTGACCCATCCCCTGGGGGAGCGGTGAGCTGCAGACACAGCCGCGCTCGGGAACCATTTGGTGGTTTAACCCCCTAATCCAACCCCTTAATGCTGAGTGTCAAGCAGGGAGGCATTGGGTCCCATTTTTTCAAAGTCTTTGGTATGACCCGACCAGGAATCGAACCCTGATCTCCCAGTCTCAGGGCGGATACTCTACCATTAGGCCACTAAGCTGGTCTCCTACAACTATCTCCTGCGTTAGTTTCTGATAGAAAATAGATGGTGAAATGCTAGGATTTGAAAATCCTCACATATCTATGTCACACTGTGAATTATCATTAATGGCCTCGCCGATGTTGGCTTGCTCACGCCCACAGGAAAGTTTTTTTTGCAACAAGAAGAAAGAGCTGAGAGTATCTTGGCGATAGTGACTTTGCAACATGGATGAGCGTGTTCTGTTAGCCAATCAGAAGCGAGGTGCGTGCATATCATTAGTAATAATGGGTAGTCCTGCTGTTTTCAGTCCACCTCTGCACCAGCAAACTTCTGCATGTCAGAACAGGAGCATCATAGATTTGTTTAATGACTCATAAGTCTGGGATGAGAATCAGCTCTTGTAAATTCGAGACCATGCTCTTGAGTCAGAAAAGAGTAGAATGCCTTCTCGGGGTCAGGGACAAGGTCCTGCCTCAAGTGGAGGAGCTTAAGTATCTCGGGGTCTTGTTTACAAGTGGGGGAAAGATGGAGCATGAGATCGATAGGTGGATTGGTGCTGCGTCTGCAGTGATGCGAGCGTTGTACCAATCTGTCGTGGTGAAGAGAGAGCTGAGCCAGAAGGCGATGCACTTGATTTACCGGCTGATCTACGTTCCTACCCTCACCTATGGTCACGAGCTTTGTGTAGTGACCGAAAGAACAAGATCATGGATTCAAGCAGCCGAAATTAGTTTTTTTTCTGCAGGGTGGCTGGGCTCTCTCTTAGAGATAGGATTAGAACCTCGGTCATCCAGGAGGGGCTCTGAGTAGATCCGCTGCTCCTCCACATATAGAGGAGCCAGCTGAGGTGGTTCCATCATCTGGTTAGGATGTCTCCTGGACGCCTCTCTGAGGTGAGGCACGTCTAACTGGGAGAAGGCCTAAAGGAAGTCCCAGGACATGCTGGAGGTACTATGCCTCATGGATGGCCAGGGAACGCCTTGGGATTCCCTTGGAGGAACTGGCCCAAGTGGTTGGAGAGAGGGAATTCTGGGCCTCTCTGCTTAGGCTGCTGCTCCCGCAACCTGACTCTGGATAACTGGCTGAAAATGGATGGATGGACTCATTGGCATTGATTTGCTCTAGAGAACACTGCAAATGTATTGAATAAACAAGCAAACCACGCCTTTAACAAAACAATGTTCTATTCATTCTGTGTTAATCCAACTGTGACGCATGACTGAAAGAACCAAACTCTGACACAAGTGGCTAAAAGGACCTTCCTCTGCATGGTGGATGAGCTCAGCCAGAGATAATTGGAGAAACTCACTCATTCTTGAGGAGCTCAGAGTAGAGCTGCTGCTCCTCCACACTGAACGTTGTCAGCTGGTTCAGACATCGGACTAGGATGCTTCCAGGTCTCCTCCCTAAAGGGGTTTCCAGACATGTCCTTTAGGGAGCAACTAGAGATAATTATTCCTCTCTGGAGGAGCTTCAGAGGGATATGAGGGTTTCTCTCCTGCATGGGTCTCTTTTGGTTTATATTATTCTTTGGTCTTATGAATCAACGTATTGTTTCAAGGGTTGTTCTGTTTTGTGCTGTTATTCATAGATCCTGTTTTATTTAGGAAGTCTTTGTTTCCTCTTGTTCTACTTCTCCAGATGCTCCGGCTTTGGAACCGTCTTTGTAGACCTGTGCCTCATCAGGCTGGTTTTGTGTACATATTTGTTTTTCCTCTTCTGTTAGTCAGTCTCTCTTTACGGTAAAAAGTTCTGTTCCTCCAAAATGTGAAATGCTTTGGATTTCTGACCGTTTTTTCTGTAATTAAGACTTTTCCTATTATTTCACATAATTAAAAAAAACACACAACTTTAGTCCCTGGATTTAGGCTCCACACTTCAAATATTTCATTAAATTTAGATCAAGAGACGTTTGGCTTCCACATGCTACACATGCCACTAGAGCCCGATCCCAATCCTCGCACCTCCACAAGAGTGCATGGGGTGTCCCGATCCTCAAGCACTTCGCACAAGTCGATGCGGACTTGGGTGAAGGGCTTTACCCACAATCCATTGCTGCGTGGGAATTTTGAGAAGAAGGCGGAGCAATGGCTCAAGTGCCTTTTCTGAAAATATGTATTTTCAAACAAAAGAAGTTCATTTTAAGACTGTTAATGATATTTATTCAGGCTCTTAATGTTTTAGACTAAGATTTATTGTGGACAGCGGTGAATGTAATTTGTGTCAAGTGTCTGTTTGAAAGTTGTTTTAAAAAGTGCTGCTTCCATTGTGCGAGTATTGGGCCTAGAAGTGACAATGGTGCTAATTAGCATATATTAGCATGCTAACATGCTACACTCAGAAATATGAAAAGCATCCAGTATGGCTGTTAAACATTCACATGTTGGAATATTTGGTGTGCAGACAAACTTAACTCCAACTGGAGCTAAAAACAACCTCCCAGAGCTGCTCGTGAGCCTCCAGAGTCCCTTTAAAATCCCAGATTTATGTAAAAATGTGTAAGGCACATGATAGGAACACCACAAATTGTCCACAATTACTGTCAGCAGAGACTTCCATAACTTCTCTGTCTCTTCATATTTGATCCAGAACAGTAAAGATGAGCATTAAAAATGTATGAACGAAACAAGCTGTTGGTTTGTTGACTTTTGCGTGTAGCGTGGAACATCATGAGAACATTTTAACTTTAAACATTTTCATATGTGACCACACAGATGGATCGAAGAAGGTGAGCAGATTTTTTGATGGCCCTATGGAGAACCGATGCCATCCTTTTGCATACAAAGGTTCAGGATTTAGACAGTCCTGCAGCTTGTCTCTGTCTGCCACTTCCTCCAGCCGAAGCTGTAAACTCTCGAGATCTTGTGTTACCCTCACCCTTCTGAGCAATTACCCAGTGAAGTAGAAGCTGTTCTGTCTGGCGTTGGGAGAGTTGCAATGGGGGGGTGGGGGGCAGCCTGAGAGCCTCATGTTCATGGGGACCGAACAGTTTGGGGACATGGATCCTAACAAGAAGATTATTCGGCACAATCAGAGGCATGTTTTCACAGGTAGCAGCACATTCACCTCAAACAATCAGACACATTACTGAAACCCATGTGGGAAATCAGACATCACACAGACAGATAATCCTTCCTAAAGTCCCCCCCACATAGAAGTGTTATGCATAGCATGCACGTGCACACACAAGCAGAGCAGCATGGATTTGAGGTCACAGCATGACACTATTGTTGAGTTTTAGAGGAGAATTAAAGATTACTGATATAGTAGGACACTGGCCAGATGTGGACACACACCACTCACATTTAAAAGTAAATTAGACACCTTGCAGAATTTTTAAGAATCTTTGCTTCTCACTGCACCTTCATCCCTCCCACCAAGGCCATTTCAGTCATATCCAACATACTAAAGGTTCATACATCTGGGTTAACAAAGACACGACTGGTTTTTCTGTGACAAACATCACAAATAGCAGGTTTCTCTCCTCCAAGCTGTCAGGCTGCTTTTCATCTGTCACTGTATCTCAGCACTTTCTCAGTTTGTCAAGCATCTCTCACTCAGCTCCCTTTCCCCTCTCTCAGCATTCCCATCATCGTCTCTACGCTTGCTCAAATTTTAGGCTCAGCTCAGAGAAGCCTGTGCAGGGTCTGCTTGGGATTTGTGTACAACCAGCTGAAGGCAGCGGTTCAGGGTGGATGAATTGTGGGTGGGACCACTTCATGCTCAGCATGTGTTTTCTCTGAGAGCTTGATCATAAACATGGAAAAAGCATACCGAGGGAGCAGAACCATTCTCTGGAAGGAAGGAGCTACACTCTAATGAATCTCTCCTGGACGGCCCAGGAAAGAAGCACAGCCATTTTTGGGAGCAAGGAGCCATCTCCTTGGTGAGTACCATGGCAACAGCCAACGTGGGCCCCAGCTTTCCTGAGGTTTTCTTTTCAAGCTCCCAGCAGAAAGTGGCAGGCACGCTTTTTTTGTTTTGTGATGTGCATTGGTCTCTCCTACCCATTCTTCTGTTTCTTCTTTTCTCTGCCTGCCTGACATGGTCCTGGCCTTGTTCATCGACAGGGCTGTGAGAAGGCTGCTGAGGGTGAGTGTCCGTGGGAAAATGTTGCCAGACAACACAGTGGTATGTGACAGGGAGGGAAAGCTAATATTGTCTGCTGTGGGGCAAAGAGAGAAGCCATTATTATGGATGACCCGCCTTTCTCAGCTAATTATAAAATGAACCTTTAACGCTGACTGTTTCTCAGTTGTACTTCCTCAAGTGTTCACTGTTATGGTACAATCTGCTATGAAGGTGATGGGGTGGACTGGAAATAAATGTCTCCCCCCAGGATACTAGCAGATGCAAAAATATTTTGTCAAAACGTTTGAATTTTGAAAGATTCAGCACAATTTCTCAGGAGGAATGCAGCATCGTCAGTCTCTGAAAAAAATCATCTTCAAATTTTAGTAACAATACAAATTCAACAAGTCTTGGAACACATTCAAAACGTGTTTGTCGTCAACTAAAAACCTACAAAACACATTTTTCTGCATCAACATCATTTTATGGCAAATGCTAGATTTAGTACGAGGATAAAATATGACCTGATCTCACTCATTTAAAGTAATTCTAAATAGTTTTTTTAACTTTAAGCTAGAGCTTTAACATTGATCTCAGTGATTGTTGGGTTAGAAACATAACCGCTTTCATGCTTGACTTTTCCTACAGTCACTGTTTCTGACCCCACTCTGCATCTCTCTACCAACCGGATCAATCAATCAATCAATCAATCAATCAATCAATCAATACTTTATTAATCCCAGAGGGAAATTAAGAGTTTCAGTACACACAATTCAGAGATCAGACATACATGGGCAAGACACATGACAAGAATTGGTGACTGAGGTCATTTGCAACCCTGAGTCGCGCTACCTTAATAGAGATAAGAGGGTAACATGAGGATTGGTTCAGGTGGAGGGAAAAAAAGGCACTTCAGAGTTAGTCAGGTTTTCACAGCATCTGTCTACTGCATCTAACAGCTTTGGGGAGAGGGTAGGTGTTCTGGGGGGTTCTTATACATGCATTACAGCTGTTAGCATTACTCTCTTACTTTTACTTCCACGCCCCGCCATGATGTCAACAAAGTTCTTCTTTTTCTTCTTCTTGTGCTTTTTATTCACAATCAGCAAACTGAAAAAGCTAACAGCTGTAATGCATGTATAAGTGCACCCCCAAGAACACCTACCCCTGCCACAAAACTGTTAAGTGCAGTGTCTGGCCGGCAGAGAGCTGCAGCGTGGTGTCAAATATGAAATGAAACAGGTCACATTTCTAACCCAGCAATCACTGAGATCATGCTCTAGCTTAAAGTTTAAAAAGCTATTTAGTGTTACTTTAAGGAATGCTTTAAATGCTGCAGGCTTGAATGTTTACCCTCCTGTGAATACATGATTCTGCTCTACTTTGATCGCCGCTCTATTATTTAAGCTACATTGTAGCTTCTGGTGGATGGTCAAATTAAATTAGATTAGAGAAAATAAAATCTACACTTCCAGGGCAGCAGAACTAATTGACAACGTGTCCTCAGCTTCAGTCCCACAGACGGCGCCGTGAACACAGCTCAGTTGGGACTCCTGACATTTTTTAGCCGGAATCGAGTCGTAGATTCTGCCCTACACAAACTCCCCAGTCAAATAAACAATCAATAAGTCAGGCTGACTGGAGCAGGATAATCCAAATGAACAAGGCCTCTGCCTCATAGCTTCTGGCGGGTGGCAGACAAAAGAGCCAGGACCGTATTTCTATCACTCACTCAACTAGAAACCTAACTTTCGAGCTGACTCGTGCTATGATTTAGACACAACCTCAGAGGTGTTTAGACTCTACAGCACGACTATTGGAGACATGAATTTATTGATCTGTAATTTTCTTCAATTCTCCATAAATCAGATGCTTAATTTTTTATTAATATTGATGTTTTTACTAGCTGCTTGCTCATTTATGTGCAAGTCTGACGTGGATGAAGCTGGTTTGTGTTTCTTTGCGTGAGTCTTAAATAATGACAGCACACACTCTGTGGTTTAATGGTTTATTACATTCATGATAACTGGGAGTCGCTGAAGGTGCACATCGACTAGTACAGATGGTAAAACACCACTTGAAAGGTAGAAGGTATGTTTACATCACACACACACATGCTGAATAATTTATAGGGTTTGTCTGAATGGTACACACACATTATAAGAGCTTTATTGTTGATGGCAACACAGAGCCACCTGGTGGATAAATAAGGAAGTGCACAGACTGAGGAATTAATGACAGATTTGAGCAGAAAATAATAAACTGTACATCAGATTCCTACTTTCTGTATTGATTTACCTGCATTATCTTAAATCTAAGCCTCCGAGTGGCTTCCCTGTCTAACGAGACCCCATGAGAGTCTGCAGCCAGCTGAGGTGGCGCGACACTTTTTGGAAGATGTAGCCCTCGCTGCAGACAGCCCCCTCCGGCTGGGTCACCACCCCGGTGAGGAAGAACACCTCCCTGTACAGGGTGAGCAGTGGGCTGCCAGAGCTCATGCTGCAGTCAGCGTTGGCCCGTGGAGCGGTGCAGCCCATTTTGTTGGTCATCAGCGTGGGGTACGTCTCCACACACTGAGGCAGCTGTCGGTACTCCAGGTGGTTAAGAGTGAGCTGGCCCTGGAAACTGGAGCTCTGCTCAGGCCTCGCCCAGCCGGTGATCACAGCTGGGAGCTCTCCCGACATCAGGATGCTCTCTGCAAAGTCTCTTTCAGGTAGACAGGCAGCGACGACTGTGTTCTTAAAGGTCATGCGGTCGCGGAGCTCGATGACAGCCAGGTTGTTTTCAGGACGGCCTTCCACATAACGAGGGTGGACATGGACTATTTTTACATACAGCACCTGCTCACCATCTTCTCTGTTGGTGCTGCGTTTGCCTGAATAAGAGCAGGTGAGTATGGCATTAGAGAGCAGATGACTTTAGTTCCTCCAGTAGTGCCGGAGGTGAGAACAGCTTAAGGTGCGATACATTTGTCAGCCTCTAGATGGTGCTGTCGGAAAAACAACAACCTGGATTTCTGTTTTACATTTTTTTTCAATTGTTTACACACATTTTCTGGTACTTGAGACACAATGACCACAACATGTAACCAATTCACCAACCCCCTTAACCAATTCTGCTAAACTACAAGCACAATTCCTGCTTTGCACTCAAATTGCGAATCTAAAACACACTTTTCTCAAAACACTACACACAATTCTCTGCTGTTGGCACAATTTTCATGCAGAAAATATCTTGTTTTCACAAGGAACACACAGCTATTCAAATACACTCTGCATACATTCAATGCACACTGACTCATCACAAGGGCACACAGTTTTACAATTAGCAATCAGAGCTTTAGCATAAAAGGGCAACAGGTGAGCTCTTCTGTTTTGGAGCAATGGATGCCAACATTGGAAACAGAGGCAGAGCCAGAGGAGTGAGAGTAAGAAGAGGAGGACGAGGACGAGGAAGACCAAGGACCGTAATCTCTGATGAGATCTGAGCCACTTTGGTTGATCATGTGGTCAACCATGGTCTGAGGCTGGGCAAAGAGTACAGTTAAATTTGAGCAGGTACACTGTAGCATCCATCATCCGGACCTTCCGAAATGAGAATAGGTAAGAAATCTTCTCTCACTAGAAAATGGCAGCACTGCATATCAATACAATCAGTATTCAATGAGTGTAGTAGTAGTATTGCCTAGTTCTGAGAATATGAGGCATGCTTTCAGGAAATGTGTGTAAACAATTGAGAAAAACTGTAATGCTGCTAAGAGTTGGTAACCAGCTCTGTAAAGCAGGCCGGGACTGCTGTCTCTGGAAAGGTTGCATTTATAGATATTATCAGTAGCAACTGTGTTCCAAACTAAAGTATAATCGTGTGTTTTGTTGACTCACCAACAGCCACCTGGAATGAGCTGTATCTGTTAGCGCACTGAGCCGAGGTCAGAACCAGGTTCTCCTTTAGGATGACTCCGCTACAGAAACCGGCAGACTCTGAGCTCTTCAGCAGAGCCTGGAAGCATGATGAAGAAAATGCAAGAACACAAACACACCTAAAGGAGTGTGTAGTGTGTGTGTGTTCCTACCTGCCAAGGACACTCTGTGGAAGTACAAGTAAGTCCTTGGAAGTTGTTGCCAGCGTTGCTAGCCTGTCTGCTCGCCCACTGGCTCAGACTTCTCACCCGACCACAGGGCATGGAGACTGGTGAGGAGAGACAAGCAGGTTTACTTTCACCCACAGATGTCAGCTTTTGGTATACAGAGGTAATTACATATGAATGAGGAAAATCCAACTCAAGCATCTAGAAATAAAGTAGTATTTGGTCCAAAAGCCCAAGATTTACTTGTTAAATTACGTATTTCTTGTGTTTTCTAACCCACCACTACATATCACCTCAACAGGCTTATGGTTCAAGATCCGTTATCTATACCCGCTTAGGCTTGCAGAGGTGTGGGGGGCTGGTGCAGGCAGGGTGCACCCTGGACAGGTTGCCAGTTCATCGCAGGGCAACACAGAGAAACAAAGGATAAAGAACCACGCACGCACGCACGCAAGCGCATGCACGCACACACACACACACACACCTACCTAAGGACAATAGCCCAAAAGTCATATTTTTGGACTGTGGGAGGAAGCCGGAGTATCCGTAGAGAACCCACACATGCATCGGTAAAACATGCAAACCCGGGACTTACTTGCTGCAAGACAACACTGCAGCTCTTAATGAAAAAGATATTTAATCAAATGTTGATGTTAAAACTTAGTCTTACAGTAGTTAAAAGTGGTATTTTAGGGGTGCAGCTGTTCAGAATGGTTGTTAATTCAAAGTTTGCTTTTTTTTTATTAAGTCTGATACGTGATTGGCTGAAACAAAGACGGTCTGTCATAGAAACACATTCTCACACCCGAAGCGGCTAAAACTGATGAAGGGTGACCAAGTGTTTGTTTCCAAAGCGCTGGGGCTACCAGCGTGTCGGGAGGCGACGCACTGTGCCAGAGCGTCCCTTTCCGACTCCCGCGGTAAAACAGAGATTTTACCGAATTGTGACCTTTGCCCTCTTGCTACTTAACCTTCCCCTCACCCCCATGCTAACCTTAACCCACTTGTGTGTGCAAAGCTTTGTTTCTAGTTGTATCGTTTCTCTCAAACAGTTAACGGGAATATTGGAACAAGAAACTGGGTTAAGGTTAGGATGGGGGTGAGGAGAAGGTTAAACCGCTAGAGGTTAGAGGTTAAATGTCGGTGAAATGTCTGTTTTACTGCGGGTGTCGGAAAGCGACGCTCTGGCACAGCGGGCTCCCAACGCGTCGGAAACAAACGCTTGGTCGGCTTTCGTCAGTTTTAGCTGCTTGGAGTGTGAGAATGTGTTGGTCACTGAGAAAAGTGCGATTTTTAAATTAGTAGCTTAGATCACTGGAGACGTAAATCAAGTTTAAAATCTTAATACGCTGCATTTTTTTATTGAATTGAAAAACTTTTTGGATGAAGAGTGAAACACGGTCAAGGAAACAAAAAAGCTGATATGAAATTGACACCCTAAGGCCTTCTGCAAAACTGGGTTAAAGGAGCAATCATGGACCCTACTGTACATGTATGGCTTATCTGCAAGTTGACAGATTTAGAAAGCAAAACACAAATTATGTCTAAAAAAACTGCAAAAAATAAAAAATAGATGCTGTTCAGTGGTGGTTTTTGCAAAGGCAACATGGCTCACAGACCTGCAGGTTCACACTTGTCCTTGTTCGTACGGCTGAGCTTCCATCCACGAGCACAGGAACACTCGTAGGACGTGTAGCCCGGTTTGCAGAACTGAGAGCAGCCCTTGTCCTTTTCCAGAGAGCAAAGAGTCCGGTCTGCATCACAAAGCAGAGAGAAGAGAAGTAGCAGAGTGTGGACAGAAATACGAAGTAAACATGCAGTTTCCTTCAACCTTCTTCACAGTGGACTCCGGTGAAGCCCGTTTTGCAGACGCAGTCATAGCCTCCAACGCTGTCTGAACACATGGCTCCATTCTTACAGGGGTTCTCTGCACACTGATCTCCATCTAAAAAGAGAACAAGTCCATGATGTAGAGTAACGCTCATTTCTGTGCAGCAAAGGTTTGTTTTTCATGCAGAACTCACCGATGTAGACTGACCAGAAGATGTCCTAGAAGAGAAAACACATATAAGTGAGTATCTGCAGCTGCACGGTGGTTTTATCTGTAAATGATTAAACAGGAGAAGAAAGGAATTCTAGCTCACTGTGCGGTAGGAGTCCTGGAAATACTTCCTGGCCTCATCATAAGTGCACACTTTCTCCATGCAAGCCTGCTCCAGAGTGGAGGACGGCGTTCCGACGTTCCTCTTCTGTCGGGAGATCAGCGAGGAAGCCTGCTGCTTATCCAGGAACACTGAGAGTACAGTGACCATCTCAGGAATCTCAGAATTATAAACATGCAAAATAATAATTCAGTGGAACTGTTGCAGTTGCTTTTAGGAACAACGAGATTTTACTTAAGCTTGAAGGTTTTACTTTAATGTTGAAACTGTAAAACTAATTAAAATCTTGATTTTTACCTGGTTTATTTCTGTAGTGGCTCAAATAAACCATCTTATACAACAGTTCCATACAAGCTCATGCTGTTGGAGAGCAATTAGGGCATTTAATCTGACTATGTATCCTGAGTCTGCTCCAGTTGGCCTTGACCCCTGTTGTACCAGATATTTTACATCTGTTGACCTTATTCATACTTATATTCACAGAATCCCACATAAATAACTGTGTAATGAAACATTTATGGGAGACTTTTCAGATAATATTGTGAACTATTATAAAATTTGGGAAGACTGAAGGTGTTTTAAGAAGGCAGCAACTTGATTTGGCTAGGCTTGGACTAACCACGAGCTCATCCATCCTGTAGGACGTGAAGCTCAATCAGAGACACACTTCTCACTGGCCAAAATATTTCATCCATAAATGTGATCCACGTCAACTTAATTCCTAATCTGAAAACTGGAATACAAAACATGACCCTAGACACCTGCAGAGCCTTTACTGTACCACCTGCATCCAGTCTGGCCTCCTCACCTGCCTCAGGAGTTTGACTGGCCATCGTTGCCCCAGCAAGCAGAGTCAGAAGAGCAGCGAAGCTGACTGAGGAGTTCATGGTGACACTGAAGTGATGGAAGTGTCTGCACTGCAGGGATCAACGTATTCTCCTAAAATCACAACAAGCAAAATCCCTGTATGATGAAGAAAACACAATGAGTATGACAATAAGACAATGTGATTATACGTGCATTTAATTTAAAGATGCACTTGTTGAGAGTTGTGCTGGCAGTGATCTTAAACAAGATTCATCGCAAGCAACCTTTTTGATTAAAGTAACTGACTTCTAAACGTGAGGTCAGAGTTCATGAGCCAGAAATGAGAGGCAGTGGGAGAGTTCTGTTGTCACAGCAAGGATGCTTCAACCAGTTTGTAACCAAGGGCGTCTGCAGTGCTTACAATGCTGCTCTTGAATTTCTAAGGAGCCAAACAGGATGTGTTGCTTTTTGAGATCTTTTAGCCTACTTCATATTGTCAATGGAAATGATTTAGTTCTACTGGTCCGTGTTTTCTCTGATCGAGGTGCTAAGCTCAGCTGGAGGTTTTGTAAAAGTAAGCAATACTTTCATGTTATAGGAAATGAAGTGGCTTATTTTGCTGAATCTTGTCCTAGATGTGACCACGCCCTCTTTAATTTGTATGATTGTATGATGCTGCCCCCGCGACCCGGATAAGCGGAGGAAGACGAAGACGAAGTTTATACAATCATCTCTGCCAAGCTTTATTATTACTTATGGAGCAAACAAACATTAAAGCTTGTCTTGTGTCGTTGACATAAATCTGCAGCACACATTCCTCTTTAGACACACATCTCGCCTCTGCGAGCTGCTAGAGTCAACAAACAGCATCCATTTGTTTCCAGCGCCAGCCACACTACAGCAGGCCGAAATGCGTCAGAACGTCACGAACAAGCAGAGAGATGCTCGGTACCTACCGCACACGACAGAGTCGAGATACCGGCCCGGGTCGCTCCGTCTCCCGGCTGAAACAAGCAAAAACGTCCCGGACTGATAGGTCCGTATCGGTGAAGCAGCAGCTTCTGGTTCACATCCGAACAGCGGTGTTTACGGTTCACGGTGGGTGTGCAGACCACTCCCGTCCGGCAGAGGGCGCTGTTACACAGAGTGGACGCAAGAGCCCCCCAAAAATCTAAACTATCTGGTGTCATAAATCACATTTTCTATTAAATTGTTAAAATTAAAATCACTTGTCGAATGTAAGTATGGATGATAGATTATTTATTTTTGTGGTATGTCTAACTCAAATTATGAGTCCACTGGAATGCCCCCACATTCTACTGCAGATGGACCAAAGGTAACTTTCTGTACTTTAACACAATGAGCCTTCATGAATCTATAAAAAACTCAATAATCAATAAAGCAATTTGTGAATTTTTCCCACTGTAGGAGTAATAAAGTATTTTCATTCACTGCTTTCACACAGCAAGAAGGTTGCAGGTTCGAATCTCAGCCACAGCCTGCTTTGAGTGTGGGTTTTCTCCAGCCATTCTGGTTTCCTCCATAGACTGTACATACTGGACAAAACGATTCCATAGGCTCCAATAACGTTTTTTGTCTATAATGGGAGGTGGCCATCACCGCCATTTTGACCGTGTCACAGGTTCCGTCCAGCCCAGACAATTCCATAAAAGGGAAGAGAGGAGGAGCTGAGGGTGGGGCTGTAAGGCTGGGATCGAGTGACGACACCCAGGCGAACTATTTTTTTTTTTTACTTTATTAAATTTACAAACAAACATGGCACCTTGACAATGTTAAGTTCAAAACTTAAATTCAAAAGGAGCAGTTATAACATTTGTAAGTATCCAGTAAAAGAGAACAACAAGAGACAAAAGAACATGAAGAACAAGTACAGCAGGGGTGTCAAACTCATTTTAGCTCAGGGGCCACATTGAGGGAAATCTAGTCCCAAGTGGGCCGGACCGGTAAATAAAAAAAAATAAAAACTTCAGATTGTTTTCTTTGTTTTAATACAATCAATATAAAACAAGGCTGGAGCCTGAGGACAGTGTAGTACAAGTACGACACCTGAAGTGTACTTGAAAATTTGAAAAAAATAAAAAAACATTCCTTAGTGATTCAAAGAGCTTACAGATCACATGGCAAAGTATATTTGACTCATTTTACTTTACATCTTTTAGCTTTCACCAGCACATCAGTATCAGAACTCACATCCTGAGTGGCGGCCAACTTCAGGATGTGATTCAAGTTCTTGTGTGAGCCTTGAGCGCAGCTTTGTTTTATTTATACTCGTTACAGAGGAAACTTGCTCACAAAGATAAGTTTATTTTCACTCTACATTGTAAAGTATGAAAATAAAGTTTACACAACCATCCCGCGGGCCGGATTTAACCCGCTTGCGGGCCGGATTCGGCCCGCGGGCCGAATATTTGACACCCCTGAAGTACAGCTTTCAATGAGGGTACAGCATTTATCATATAGAATTAGGAAATCACTTTGGAAGTTCAGCTAACATGTTATATAGATTTTTGCTATATTTGTTGAGTTGTTTCAGGGATTTTAAATATAATTGAAATTCTATTAAAAAACATTGAAGACAGGGGATGATTGCAAATTTTGTTGTTTATGGATAAAAAATTTGGCTAAACAGAGGATGATATTATAGCAGAGTTCTTTATCTTTATTATTGAATAGAATCCCAAATATTATCATATCTTTAGTGATGTGAACTGGGAGTGGTATTTTAGTTTTGATCCACATCTCTAGCTTTTTCCAGAACAATTGTGTTTTCTGACATTCATAAAATATATGATCTATAGTTTCTATGTGATTTTCGCAAAAAGAGCAGTTGTTGCTATCAATATTAAAACGAGCTCTTAACAACTCTTTTGAAGGATAGATTGCATTCATTATTTTAAAGTGGGTTTCTTTAGCTTTCGGTGGTATAGGTAATTTTAGGTAGATAGTTCTTATTTTCTCAAGACATATTTTATCAAATTTGTAAATTATGTTATTTTTGTTTGTTTTTCCAGGAAAAAGAGATTCACTTAAGGCTGATCTTATTGTAAGATTGTTGCATTTTCTGTCAGTTAACAGAAGACCTTTAATAGATAAGATAGGAAGGATTGGAATAGAACATTGATGTTTTAGATATTCTCGGGCTTGGATGATAAACTGTTTTGGAAGTGCATTATGTAACCTGTTAAAGTCAAGCTCAGAAGCTTTAAAATTGTATCTTCTGCAGAAATTGTCATAATTCAAGAGCTGAAAGAGAAAGAGGCAAATCGTAAACACACAAGAGCAGCAAAAGAAGAAGCAGAAAGTACAATAAAAAAGTCAGCCGTAACAGATCATTGCTTAAGAGAAAACCATATAATGGACTGGGACAACACACGGATCATAACCACCGAACAACAAAAATACAAAAGATGGATCAAGGAAGCAATCGAGATAAGGAGACGTGGATGTGGGACCATGAACAGGGACGACGGAGTTTACACGCTGGACCACGCATGGGACTGCATCGTCGGAGAGGGGAGAGCGGGCAGTAGAGGGCGACAACGTCCTCTGCTGCCCGCAGATAAACGGAGAAGGAAGTGACGCGCCACCATCAGCGTCAGCCTGAAGAAGCTGGCAGCCGTCGGCGAAACTGTAGCTACAAACAGGTAAACAAAACTGTTTCTGTTTAAAAAAGAACGAAAGAATGCATTTTGCATGTTGTAACTTTTACTCTGAACTTTATCAAGTGTTCACTTACATAAATGTTAGAATATCACCTTAGGTCCTGTTCATGCAGACTCTAAGGGATAGATAGTAACATATAATGCAACACCTGCATCTACATCTGCAACCTTCTCAAAACTTACCTTGTCATTCCTACTTACCTGTTCTTCCCTTCTTGGAACAGGTTTTTTTGACCTTAAAGGATGAGAAGATTGTAGGTACGGCTGTGTCCTTCAGGCAAACTCTCCCCTAAAATAAAAAAACATAATTACTTAATTAAAAAAAAAGAGATTCACATATACACACATCAGACAAGGTCAGCTTCTGAAGAACACACTGGTACACCAGAGCACTGTGTGTGTGTGTGTGTGTGTGTGTGTGAGTGAATGTGCTTGCATGTGTGTGTGTGTGTGTGTGTGTGTGTGTGTGTGTGTGTGTGTGTGTAAAAGGCATGTGTAGTGTTTGTTATTTATAAAGCATATGTTGTTGGATTTTATCCAGAATCGAGACTTTGAAAATATATAGTATAATTACAGTTTGATTTATTTGACATCTGTATAATGTTTATTATTTTGTTTTTTTCCCCTAAATGCCTAATGTTTTAGTTTAACATGAATATTTGTCATTCATCCAAATACATAAAGTTACACATTAAAGACTGTCCAAAAATTAAATTGTTTCTCTGAGTAATTAACCATAGAATTAGATGGAAATTAATAACATGATTGTTTCCCATCTAAACAGCCCTAGTCACAGACAATTCAAGGGTGGGGAAGATTTTCTTCTAGTTACACAGCAATGTAACATCGGTATGTTATACAGCTAATGCTTCAATTTTTTAAATCTCAACCAAAATATGAAGTAATGTGTTTGTACCCTGGAGTCCGTGGTGAAGTGATGACTCTCAAAGTGTTCACTGCACAAGCGGGAGAATGAATTGGGAGTCCAGCCCTCTCTGGTTGCTCACCCAAAGGTCAAGCCTCTCTGGATCACCTAGAGGAAAAATTCATACAAAGAACTAATTAAGTATATGGCTTTAAAATACTTACCGGAAATTACTGACTCGTGCGTACTGCAATATAAGCCTCACCCCCCCCAAAAAAGAGCCAGTTTATCTGATGGCATACAGACTTCTAACATCAAGCACTATCTACCAACTCACCGAGCTGCAGTATATCTGCGGCCAGGTCAGGCTTGGGGAGAAAATACGACACGTCTTTCAGGATGGACTTCATCTTTGGTAGCTGGCGAAGCCGGGAAAAGCAGGATCTAACCACCTGGCTAATGTGGGAGTCCATCCACATCTCTGGGTCCAAAACCACCCCCAGGTTAGTGATGGTTGGCTTCACTAAGCTGCAAAAACAGGGTTGCAGGACAGGACTAACTGCAGTGGGAGAGGGAGGAACAAATATTCCAGTTATAAATATTAAATATTTGAACAAATAAATATTTGTTAAAAGGAAGAAACTGATGATGACTTTAAGATTCGAGGAATGTTCTAGAACGGGTCTGGAACCAACGATGGACCTTTGGATCAAATTTGGATTAAAAATTGCTCATGATTTTATTTATGGATGGAATAAAAATACAGGTTTTGAGCATCTTCTCAGTATCTTCATGTTGCACGACTTTCCACAGCAGAAGGACACAAAAACTGCCAGAATTATGATTAGATAGATTTACGTTTTAATCTCAGAATCCCAACTTTTCCCAGAATCCTCACATTATTCTATGAATTCAGAGAAAATATACATTTTTCAGAGGTCTCGCTCCCCTGCTGTGGATATTTCTCAAAATTCAACCATTTTTTCTTTTCAAAAGCTTTAGTAAGAGTTTGGACTCTAAACAAGTTTTACTTTGCAGACTGCTTGTCTACACCTTCATCAGATCTGCTCATAATAAAACATTTGGGTTATATTTAATGTCTAGAGAAGATGCTCTTCCTGGGCATTAAGTTATCGAAAACAGATAAAAGTTTTTTTTAACCATAATTTTAACTGCTATCAGCTGATAAAAATAATAAAAACAGCCTGATCATTAAAGGGGTGTAAGTGAAACCGCGTGGATCACACAAACCATCATGCTGTCTATATGACTCTGAGTGAAGTGATCATAGCAACACCTAAAGAATCAGCTGGACCAGAAGCAGACCAGAACTCCTGAAACTGCCCCTCTCCTGATCTATATGGTTGATACCTACATGGAGGACCAGTGTCTGATGTTAGGAACAACATTCGGGCACCAATGGCTGCATGGTGTCACAGTTGTTAGCACTGTTGCCTCGCAGCATGAAAGTTGCAGGTTTGAAACTCGGCTGCGGCCTTTCTGCGTGGAGTTGCGTGTTCTCCCCATGCATGCGTGGGTTTTCTTCCGGGTACTCCGGTTTCCCCCACGGTCAGATCTGTCTCAGAGTCCG